GGTGCATGTGGAAACACAATACAAAGAATTAAAACAGTTATTCCAAATAACTCCATTTTGAACATATGACACAACGAATCTTCACAAAAACTTTACGACTGATTTTATCCTTATTTTACAGACAGGGAAGCTGAGACACAGACCAGTCAAAGCCCAAATTTCCCAATGTGGCTCAAAACTGAGTGCCTCAAGTTTAGGTGCTCAGTCAAGCTATCCAAAGCCTGGTGCACAGAGCGCTAGGATCATATTCTGATGTCACTGGTACCATCCTAGGCCTGTCTCATAAAATGTAGTGCATTTATATAAGCAGACAAGGTTTTTTGGGTGAATTTATATAATGTATTTATATATGGTAAATACTAAAGTTGTGCATGGGAAAAAGAGAGAGAGGAGTGTCTATAGTGGAAGGAATAAAGTATCTTATCATCCTGAAAAAGGAAGTGTTTTTATTGCATAGTTTCTTGTTCCAGGCACTTGGCATCTTTCTATAATATTTACTGGGCCTGAACACAAACAGGTCCATATACTCACCTGATATACAGCAGCACAGATCCATTTTGCTCTCAGAGCAGCTGGCTTTTATCCCAAGTATACAAATCTAGAAGGCTTGAAAACCTGCTCCTATATTTTGTTTTGTCTTCTTGCTGGACAGCTCCCCAGTTTCTCTTTTTTTTGCTTCTTGTATGAAACAGACTGAAAATTGCAGCTGATCAGTTTGTTGCTTTGGGCTGGTAAGCATGACACACATTGAAATTCATAAATAAAAAAGGGGGGAGGAAGTTTGGGTGCAATGAAATAAAAGCCTTACTGAAGGGTCAATTCTGCTTCCATTGAAGTCAGTGGGAGCTTTGCAATAACTGTTGCTGTATACAAGCTTAGATATGTAGATAAAGGAACTGCTCTATTGGGCTGACACTCTTCTTCAGTTCACAGGAAATCTTCTCACAAGGCCTGGTTGTAAAACAGAATAAAACAAAAGTAATTAAAAGAAATCAGAGAAGTTTTTCATTCTGAATTTCTGAAAATAACTAATTTTGGATATTTTATAAAGTAAAAAAACAACTGATCAGCCAACCAAAAAAAAAAAAAAAAATCCCCTGGCCCCCCCCGGGGGGGGGGGGGGGGGTTGGCAATTTTATTTTTAAAAAGATTTTTTTTTAATTAAAAAACCCTAAATGAAGAAAGGGGTTCACCTCTTTTAGCCCACAATGTCTAGACATGAACTTTAAACCAAAGCTATAAAAATGTTCATCTCTGTATAAGATAAAGACAGATTTCTTGATGGGGGGTGCAAGACTCTTAGCACCTTTTAGAATTTGACCTCCTTTGGAGGTTTTTTTATATGTGTTTTTGGAGAAATCAACTTATACCTATAGATGTGAAGTTATAATGATACTCTGGGTATCTTTAGGATAGCTGGCTTGATTATGTACCTAACTGTGACATTTGACTTACTAATGGTTAAATCCAAAGCCTATAGCATCTTTCTTTTAAAAATGATACAAAAACATCATCCACAGAATAATTAATTTACCTGCACTTAGACTGGAAGGGCCTGATGTCAGTGTATGTAGCTAACTGAGAATGCAGTTATATGTTTGAGTTCATAATGGCCCCAATCTGATAAAGACTTACGGCGGTATCTGTTATGCTGGGAATAGATCACTGAATTCAACAGCACTTCCCCCAGAGTAGATTTTCAGCTCATCGTTCCATTTAATCATTTTTCAAGACAGGCTGGGCAGGGTGACACTGTAGAGACAAATTCAAACTCATTCAGGAAGGCATAAACTTTCATAAGTAAGATCCTACTTTGTCAGATGCTATTACATGTAAATAGCTGATTGACCTACATTTGGAAATAAAAGCAATATGCACAGCTGCATGTGAAAAACCAGCACTAAAACACAAATCCTATACGATTTCCAATGTTGCTATTGACACCTAAATACCAGAGCTAACTAAAAAATAAACTTCAAAAAACATTATGAAAAAAGTTAACATTTTGCTGTCTTCTCAAAATGTCAAACTATTGCTGAGCAGTTTCCCTGCCCTAAACAGAAACATTACAATCGACTATTTGGTTAAAAAAACCCTAAAGAATAAAAGAATAAAAATATTTGAAAACATTTTACATTTTTCAATGATATTTGACAGAGGTCCCTGGGAAAAAAGTTTTGACAACCAGCTTATCAATCCATAGTACTAATGGGTACATTTGAAATGCATTAACAGAAAGCTGCATCTCACTGAAGGCACCATATGTCTTGTAAAATCTGTCTTCTTTCTATCTGCAGATATTTTAATTACTTCCCTATTTTTCTCATTAAGATCTAGTCTACACAAGAAATGAGAATTTGCCATCAGAGTAGTTACAGTTTTAGTTCACTTCATAATATTTCTCACTCTAAGCACAGATGCTTTCTTTCTTAGAGTCTCTATTGATCACAATGAACAACAGCGCCTTACTTAAGCATAATGACTTCAACAGAGCCACCCCTATGGTAAGCTGATACTCAGCGTAACTATGATGGAATCTAGCCCTTAATAAAATATTTAGATCATATAGATTTCTCTCACTTTCTCTCAGCACCAATTTTGGTGATATTCTAAACCAGAAATGATACATGTAAGGTGAGGTATTTCAACATATTGATATGCCTGGCTGAATGACACATCATGTTTAATTTTTATTCTATCATATCAGTTAATTGCTGCATGGCCCATAGCCAAGGCTACAGCTATCTAGGAAGGGGAAAGAAATCTATCCAGATGTTATGCATGTTACTGATGGGGTAACTTTCACTCTGTTAATTCCAATGGGTACATTTAGATGCTGGCATTTCCCTGTTACATAGAGACATGGTGAAACAGATATAGCAGATACAAATAAAAGTATGGGAAGAGGATTAGAGTATGGGAACCTTTGTAGGCATTAGGGGTGTGTGAAATGGGCCATATTCAATCCGTTGAATCGGGGACAGTGATTCGATTCGTTGATTTGGATCACTGTCCCCAATTCAATTCGGCTGAATCCGAATCTGAAGATTCGATGCTGATTTGGAGAATCAGCAATTCGGCCATAGACACAGCTTTAAATGTTTTTTCTACGTACCTTGAGGTACCAGGCATGGCTCATGAAGGCTGTGATGCTGGGGTGAATGGAAAAGGAGTGTGGGTGGGCCCTCCACATGCTTGGCAGCAAACCCAAAGTGGACTGGAAGTACTTCTGGTCCACTTCCAGGTCTACCGGGGAGTGCACTACCCGCCCCCCCCCGTGCCCTCCTGGCTCGGCAATCAGCCACGGGGGGACCCTGGGTGCCCTCCAAGACTCAGGAGGCACCAGCCGCTAAGCCAGGGGAGTGCGGTGGAGCCCCCCTGCATGCTCCCCGGCAGCCCCGGAAGTGGACCGGAAGTGCTTTTGGTCCATTTCTGGGGCTGCTGCTGAGTGCGCGGGGGACCCCTCCTGCTTCTGTGGGACACTCCATGCATCCCAGCATCGCAGCACTCACAAGCTGCCTGCTACCTAGAGGTATGCAGTAAAAACATTTAAAGCTGTCTGTGTCCGAATCTCCAAATCTCTCCAAATCGATTCGGAGAGTTTATAGGGTCCTCTAATTTGATCTGGATTTGAAGATTCGGCCACAAATTGGACCAAAGCTCTGCCAAATCAAATCAGGGACCGAAGCTTTGCACAGCCCTAGTAGGCATCTCTCAGAGCTTCATGATCTTCAGACAAAAATGTTCTATTAATGTTTGTTCATTTCACAGGCCAAAGTGCTTTAATATAGTTAAAAATCAGCCTGTTTAATGTCTTTAATTAAATTCCTCCCTTTTGGAAGCTTGAGAAAAAAAAGGTCTGTTTTCTTTTTAATTTTCTTTCCCTGTGTGTGAATATCATGAACTGTTTGCAGGATTGTTGACAAAACCCCACCTGTGGATTGCATTGATTTATTTGCCAAGGCAAAAATGATTGTTTTGAAAGAAAAATACTCAGAACAAACAAGAATTACACAGAGAGGGCTACACAGACTTTGGAAGCAGCTATTAGAAAATACACACAAGCCATCAAATCAAATTCTGGGCCTCCTAACCTTGGTGGTTTCCCTTTGCAGTCTGGGTATATCTATATATAATTTTAGTTTTATTTATCCTAAAAGAATAAGGGGAGAAATTTTAATTTGCTAGGCTGCTGGATGATTGTGTTAGACCATTAGGTCTGGGACAGAAGTTTCATAAACCGATGTGACCCAAATCAGTTAAGTCTGATACTACATACAACCAGGTTCATCTTAAATCAGTTTCAGCCATTTTTAAACTGGTTTATGTGCACTGCACTTCTGTTCTGTTACAGGTTTAAACCAGTTTCTGATCACTTAAACTGGTTTATGTGTAACTCCTGTCCCCAGCCTTAATGGCTGGGAAGGTCTGGGTGGAAATGCAAAATCTTAGCTCTACTTGTGTCAATCTCCTCCTATTTGGTAAGTATAAAGCATCATGGTGACTGCTTTTCATGCACGGTGCCTATCTTGTACTTTTGTGGAGAACCTGACCTGGAGAATATCCATGATTAGTCTTTTTAGTACATCCATGATTAGTACACCTGTGATTAGTCTTTTTGAAATCATTCTGTTAGGCCGCACGAGAAGGGATTAAGTACAAGGATCAGTGCAGTTAGCTCAGAGATCTTTTATACCTGTGGAGTTCTAACTTGCTAGTATTCAACTGCAGAAGGTAGCTGTAATGTTTGCTATGCATATAATTAAAAAAGTTTATTAAATGATCAGATATGTGCTCATTCACACAGCCCTTTAAAGTCAGTGCCAACACAGATTAAAAATTTAATTAGTTTGCTCCTCTGTAACTCAGTCTAATTGAAACTGTCAGTTGTGCTGTGCTGATTATGTCACAGAAGAGAACCAGTACAATAAACCAAGTGCTCTCAACTTAGATCATGAAGTTTGGGGTCAGTTTAGGAAATGTACTAATTATGGTTTTAGGATTTAGTTCTTCTATGGAGTTAGCTACCCTTAAATGTTTGCTGGTAGAGCTACACTGACAACCTTTCCTGATTGCAATGTACTTCATACTGACAAAAACATTATTTTGATTGTGCTTTTTAAAACAGCTCCCCAAATGGAATAAGCTACATAAGCAAACTGTCAACTCCCCCTTTCCATTTCCCCAAGAATCCTTGTCCATAGACCTGGAGGGTATCTTCCCCCAAAATACATTTAGTCCTCCCCTTCAATCCTTTTCACCCATGTGAGAACATAGTCAATAGACCTCACATTGTCACCTGGACCCCCAAGATGTTCCTGTAGATAACAATAGCTATAACTCAACTGTAACTCTTGGTAGATACTACACAACCAAGTATGTTATATATTTGTGTTATAACCATCTAATAGTATTTTTGGCCACTTTATTCATAATTAGGGACAATTAACAGGGAATCAACTATGTTATCTGAGTTCTACGATTACCTATGGAATAGGAAGAATACTTAAAAAAAAAAAGAAGTTTAATGCAGTTTATATCCAGTAATTTATTTGTGATAAAGGAAATGATTTCTCAGTTTTATATTTGTCTTCATTTATTTTTTAACCTTAACATTAGTTTGTAAAACCACTTCTTCACACCTTCTTCTTCTTGTAACAAGCCGGATTTTTTTTCTTGGTAAAATAGAAACAGAGGTTAAAGTTTATCTGAGGGAGGCTAAAGGAAGGTGGGGGAGTTGCAAAGAGAGCAATTGGGATTTGGCTTGTCTTTTGTGCTGCTGTGTGATATTGCAGTGGGTAAGCAGCACTCATTGTGGAGCAGCAAAATTGCATCATTGTTAAAAATTGATTACTATATTGAGCATTTATTAGTGGAGTGGCAAACAACTTTATTTGTTGTTTCACTTTGGAATAAAAGCCACATAGGAGAACCAATACTATAAACCCAACACTCTTGGTTTAGAACACAAAAGAAAGCCATTTTTTTAAACACACAAGTGAATAAATACGTGGAACTTTTTTTTTTTTTTGCAGAAGCACATCAGACTGCTGATTCCACCACTCTTTTCTTACCTTACAGCATGCAACTCTTCTGAAACTCACGTTTTTGCATACTAATTTTCATTCCAGCTATTTTTAATTTATGCTATCTCTAGCCTGTTGAATGTATCACAGAGAAATATAAATATGATCCAGAACTTGCAATCACATTTTTGGGAAAAAACCTCACTTCATGTTGAGCAGGAGGGGGAAAATAATACCAACCTATTTACAATGCAATATTACTAGAGACATGAAAACAAGACCACTGCATCACACATTACTCACCTGATTTCTAGCTTTATTCCAAATTCCAAATTCAGACCAGGTTCTTCAGAAAGTAATCTGTCAAAGTTCATGGCCTTTTTGATTAAATCTGAGCTGAGATTTGAGAAAGCAGAGGCCATCTTTGCAAGAGAATCCAAGCAGACTCAGAGCCCTGCAGCAAAATCAGGGGAAAATACAGTTTTACATGTTTTTAATTCAAAACCAGGTAGGGTTCTTTTGTTTCAGCTGACCTTCTCTTTGAAATTTTAAATTCATTTTTATCTCAAAGGGTATTTCTGTATTAAAAACGCACATGGGTCAAATCCAGGCAAAATGTTCTCATGAACCCTGCCGACCCCCAAATCACTAAATTTTACACAGTTCTAAATATGACCTTTAATTAAGAAAAAAAAATCTTAACAAATGCAAACGTTGCAAATTCATTTGGTTAAACTTTAAGTTGAAGCAGCCAAACACTGAATCTAATTAATTGGACACAGGTGGGCCTTTTATGAATGGAATGTAACATAAGCACACAAAGTAATCTCGTTACATTGAAACAAGAGGTTAAATTCCACTTCCTGCTATGTAGTAGCTGTTAAGTATAGCATTGATGAAAAATATGCTAATAACACCTTCTGAAAAGCATAGCTTAGTCCTATTAACTAATCTCTGGAAGCTGTTTTGTAAACTTCTATTCTATTATACACTGTATCCCATGCATATTGGTGCATCCATTACAGTATGAAATACTATTTTTTCCCCTGCTGTTAAAATTTGTTTAAAATCAGGCTTACTCCCATTTTTTTTTGGTTTGTTTTCCCCTTTAGTTTCTTTTCTAAAGTATCTTATAATAAATGGATGAATCCAGACCTGGTGCACAATACTGGCAAATGTATCCTTTCCAGCAAGAGAAAAAACCCTGAAAATAAGAAACAAGATTCAGATCCCTGTTTCACTAGCAGATACCTCAATAGATTCAAACACGATCATGTTGAAGGTACTATAGAATTTACACAGCTGTAAATGTAAGCAGAATCTGGCCTAACATTTATATATATTTTCTGATAAACAAATATTATATTTATACTGGAGGTACTTTTTGGGGAGATGGTCTGGTTTTGAAAAGCTCTTTGTTAAAGCAAAGTTTTTACTTATGAATGACCTTGTAAAATAAGGATTAATTGTTTTGAATTGATATAGCGAAAACACATTTTTAAGATCTCTAATTGGCAATCAATAAACTGTATTAGTGAATCTAGAACTAAAGAATTTTATTTCATTCCTTTTTCTATAAATGTAAAGAAAGATGTGAAACCAAACCACAATGGTACGTTGTTTCTTCTATCCCCAGGACCATTTTTATCTGGAGACTAACATTCTGTTTTCTTTTCTCCTTCTTCATTTCCATAAACAATATGCACAACTCTCTGAGCCATTCCATCAGCAAATAAAGGCAGAAGGCTAAGTAAATTTGCTTCACACCAATTATTTTTGTGAGGTCACCAAGTTAAGCATTAAAGGATACTGCTGTGGATGAGCGCTCAGGAACAGTATGATTTGTGCTGTAAAGTGAAGAAAAACCACTCAGTGCATGGCATAATACAGCATTTATTGGAAGGTTTTGTTCCACAAGTTAATAGAAGAATGATTCTCTCCTTTTAACTTTTCCAAACTGCATATTTTACTTCACATCCCAGAGGCATCGGAGGTTGCTTTGATTTATCACCGTTAGCATATTTCAGAATCCTAATGAAATGCAGAAATGTGTGAAGTTAAAAAAATATCTCATTGATAGCAAAATTCACCAAGGAGCCATCTCATTTTTATATGCACCCAGAACTGAGTATTCAAAGACTTGTCCACATTCATACAAACATCACTAAAGCAGAGATGCCACAATAAAATGTGCTTCAGTAGTCAAAAGTTATCAGAGCAAGGTGTCAGGTCTTCTGCTGGTAGAAATCAGCATTGTTCTTTTAGAATAACTGGTTTACACTAGTTCTGGCCCAATGATTTCTATCTATTATGTATAGCTCTCTTCTGAGCAATGAGTAATTGTGACAAAATGTTGTATCTGATAAACAGTAGTCTGCACATACAATTCAATCAATGAATTCAGGCATTTGCAAAACAAAAGGACAAAAGTTTGCCTGATGTTACCCAGCTTAAGTCATGGGAGTTTTCCCATTGCCATACAATTGCTTTTAACATGTGGGTTTTTTTGGCCTAAAACTATAAACATATCAGAATATGGGCCTGCATTTTGGCATTCTTATTCAGTGGAGTGTCAGGAGTATCAATCCATTTCCACTTTATGGAAATGGGAGACTCCACCCTAGTTTGCTCCTGCAGCCATAGGGCTGAGGGCAAGCAAAACTTGGTGGCATCCAAACCCCAAGCTTCCAGGTTTAGGCCTGCATGTAGGATGCCCACCAAAGGACTTGGAAGCATCTGAAGCCCCAGGCATGGGTGGAGGATGTTTGCTGGTAGCAAGGCCACATATGGTTCTTGAATGACTCATGGATTTGGAAATTATTTGGCTGATTTAATTTGGGATACAAAAAAAATTCCTAAAAAAACCCAACCAATCAAACAAACAAAAAATCCATTTCCACTTCAGTGATTTATGTCAAATGAGATCAAGCCCAGAAGTTTTATGGTATTTCCAAATATCACAAACAAGATAAAACAACAATAAAACATGCCCGAGGCCTCACATCCAGCACCTTGAAAAGTAAAATTGTGCATGAAAGTTCGAGATCCAGCAAGTTTGCATCAGTAAGAATTTGGTTTGACATATCACTGCAGAATCAGGCCCTTTGCCCCACTTCTCATCAGACCCAATCAATATGTATTTCCCATGTAATAATGCAGCATCATTCATAATGCCAAGCCATATGCCTTTCATGAATAGTTCTCTAAGTTCTTACACATGTGTATCAACAAAAGAGATGCAATCAAATCACACTAAAAATGACTATTGTTCATTTTTTAAAATACAGATGTCATGAACTGTGGGTCCTTTTCCAGGTAAGTAAGTAGGTCAGGTACTCTTCCAGTCTCTAGGGCAGTGGTCTCCAGCCTTTTAAAACAGGAGATCACCTTTGGCATTTAAAAATAACCCAAGATCTACCGTGTACGACTGCCACCCCCTCTTCTCTCGCCCAGCAGGTAAGTCTGTGGGGAAGGAAGAGAGAAGCAGAGGGAGGCAGAGGGAGAAAAAATTATGTGGGGGCATGCTTCCCCAGCAGACAAGTCCCACTTGGCCGGGGCCCACTCAAATTACCCCTGCTCCTGCTTCTGCGGGACTGTCCCTCACTGTTGGGGCCTTGATCTAGTCTCTGTCCTTTCCCTCCCCCACGGACTAATCTGCTGGGCTGGGGAGTGTGCATGCATGCACGTGGGCACTCGGCCTCCCACCCCAGCCTTGGATCAACTCCAAGAGGCTCCGAGATCTACAGGTGGATAGAGATCCACTGGTTGGTGACCACTGCTCTAGGGGCACCTGCACATGAGTGCCGAGACTGCTCCAATGCGCTGGAATTCCTGCATGTCAGAGCAGACTTGATTCATCGAGTCGGCTGGAGCGTGGCAACTGCTTCCTGCGTCTCGTGCATCAGTGTCTCCGCACTTAAAAATGGTGACTGGGCTCTTGAACAAAAGATCATTGAATGAGCTTTAGTTCAAGTGCCCTGCCACCATTTTTAAGTGTGGGGATACTGATACAGGAGATGTGGCAGGACTTTAATTAGAGCAGCTCTCAGAGCTTCTTTAATTAAAGCTCCCCCCAACCCCCTGCACATGTAAAAGTGCTCTAGGCTCTCAAGCGTTTCCTCCTTCCTTCCTCCCTAATGGACTTACAGAGCAGGGTGGAGCTGAGGCCATGGCTCTACCTACCACATGTGTTCATTAGTACAGCTGGACAGCCACTCAGAGGGATGGTGTACTGTATCCCAGTGCTCTTTCTCAGGCAAAACAGCTCCTCATCACCTTCACCATGAGACTATGCCTATAAGAGCACAGCCATGGATCTAATCCAAAACCCACTGAAGTCAATGAGAGTCTTTCCATGGAGCTCAGTGGGCTTTGGAGCAGGCCCTGAACTCTCTACTACCAGCTTCAAACTGAATTCTCTTTAAAAGTACAAGAACCAATCAATGTTTGCAGAATAACAGGCAACTGTATAAAAATCAGTGTATATTCATAGCAAGGATTTTATTATTATTATTGTGCCTCACATATCTAGAATCACTTTGTGTTTTCTTGCCAGTTAGTATACCAAGCTTTCCTGTGCAGAACTACTTAAATAATGTTAAAGGCTGCTTACAGACATTAAAAAACCAAACCAAACCATGCTTTACCCAAAGAGGCAGAGTGTTAATTTGACTTGGCTCCGCAGCGTCTGTATAGATCAGGCGCTTCAGCAGAGCTTTTTTGGTGTTTTATCTAATAGATTCAATCAGCTATTAGATAAAAGCAGCAAAAAAAGCCCCACTAAGCGCCTGATCTATATAGATGTTGGGTGAGCTGGATCCACCTAATGCACTGCCTCTTCCGGAAATGCTCTGTAAAGTAAAGCACCGTTTTGGTTTTTTTAATATCTGTAAGCAGCCTGTCTTTTTCCAGCTTTATCTTTTTCTTCTATCTATTGTGACCAAATATGAAAAGGGGACAGCATACCTAAGTCACGTTCAGGTAACACGGTAAACCATATGATAGAAATATTTATAGATAGCAGCATACTACACATTTTAAACAAAAAATCCATAGAGAACACTAGAAGACAACAGCTGAATCCATGTGATTCAGTAGTTTGTGTTGAAGCTTCATCTTTCTCCCGCATACTTTAATTGCTCGATTGTAAATGTTAATACAACTGAATCTAAACAGGAAAAAATGAAGCAGCACAGGGCCTCATTGGGTCAAATCTTTTTTGAGACAGTGATAGTATCACTTAATTGCTTTCAGATAGACAAGCATATCCCTTATTCATTTACAGTATTAATCTACTGAGGGCTGCTGAAGATCAATACACAAGAGACTGGCCAGAGATGTCATTTTGTCATTTCCAGTAAGAGACAACAAAATTAATACAATATTTGTTTTTTCCTTGAGATGCCTG